ATTATGTGACTATATCATAATTTATTTAATAAAATCCCTATTTTTGGATATTTAGATTTTTTAATTATAAATAACAGAATGATTGTACTTGAACATAGTGCATAACATTAATTCATAAAATTAAATTCATAAAATGTAGAATTGATTCTCCTTTTTAATTTCACTTTTAACTCACTTGTAGGAACTCTGACCAAGATCTCCCCCTATACTCATTTTTACCAGAGTAGAATGAGAATCCAGGACAGTTTTGGATGGAGGGACAAGAACATTATGCATTCTAATGGAGTCAATAGAAGAGGACGGGGTTGGATTCACCCCCTTTGCCTTAGCAATGTTTCAGAGATCTGATGGGCTCTTTACATATGATAGATGGCAAAGAAAGGACTCAGACTAGGAGTCTGCCTCCAACACCTGCATTCTCAGATACCATATTATATTGTCTCATTTGAACAAAGGACTTGAAATCATCGTTCCATGTTCTCTTTTCTTTTTATTATTTATTTATTTATATTGTGCTTTAGGTGAAAGTTTACAGCTCAAGTTAATTTCTCATTAAAAAATTTATACACGTATTGTTTTGTGACATTGGTTGCAATCCTCACAATGTGACAGCACACTCCCCCTTTCCACCCTGGGTTCCCTGTGCCCATTTGTTCAATTGCTGTCCTTTCCTGCCTTCTTGTCTTGCTCTTGGACAGGAACTGCACATTTGGTCTCATATATTTGATTGAACTAAGAAGCATGCTCCTCATGTGTGTTATTTTTTGTTTTATAGCCCTGTCTAATTTTTATCTGAAAAGTGGGCTACAGGAATGATTTCAGTTCTGGGTTAGAGGAGTGTCTAGGGGCCATAATTTTGGGGGTTCCTCCAGTCTCTGTCAGACCAGTAAGTCTGGTCATTTTTGTGAATTTGAATTCTGTTCTACACTTTTTTTCCACTCTGTCTGGGACTCTTTGTTTTGATTCCTGTCAGAGGGGGCCTTGGTGGCAGCCGAGCACCATCTAGTTCTGGTTTCAGGCTGGCGGAGTCTCTTGTTTGTGTGTTCCTTTAGTCCTTTGGGCAAATATTTCCCTTGTGTCTTTGGTTTTCTTCATTCTCCTTTGCTCTGGATGAGATGAGACCAAGAGATGTATCTTAGATAGCTGCTCGAAAGCTTTCAAGACTCCAGACGCTACTCACCAAAGTGGGATGTAGAATATTTTTTTTATGAACTATATTATGCTGATTGACATAGATGTCCCCTGAGACTATGGTCTCCAGCCCCCAGCCCCAGCTACTAGGTCCCTCAAAGTATTTGGATGTGTCTAGGAAACTTTTCTGCTTTTGCTTTCGTCCAGTTGTGCTGACTTCCCCTATATTGTGTGTTGTTCTTCCCTTCACTGAAGTTGACACTTGTCTACTGTCTAGTTAATGATTTCCCCTTTCCCTCTTTCCCCACACTTGCAACCCCAAAAGCATCAAATAATGCTTTTTTCTGTGTGTAAACCTTTATTTCTTTTTCTTTTTCTTTTTTTCCCTGACTTCCAGCTACGGCTGGGTATGGGCTCAACACTCTAGCGCCATCCATTTTCAGGCCTAGTTGATTTGGTCATTAAAAAGACAGGAAACAAAGAAAACACCAAAATGGACATTAGAAGAGACTCTGAGACTTGCTCTTGAATGTCGAGTAGCTAAAGTGAAAGGAAGAAATGATGAAGTAAAAGAGCTGAACAGAAGATTTCAAAGGGCAGCACGAGAAGACAAAGTAAAGTATTATAATAACCTGTGCAAAGACCTAAAGACAGAAAACCAAAAGGGAAGAACACACGTGGCATTTCTCAAGCTGAAAGAACTGAAGAAAAGATTCAGTCCTTGAGTTGCAATATTGAAGGATTCTACGGGGAAAATATTAAGCAGGAAGCATCAAGAGAAGATGGAAGGAATATACAGAGTTACTATACCTAAAGGAGTTGGTCATCATTCAACCATTGCAGGAGGTAGCATATGATCGGGAACTGATGGTACTGAACGAAGAAGTCCAAGCTACACTGAAGGCACTGGAGAAAATCAAGGCTTCAAGTGAGATGTTTCAACAAACTGATGCATCTCTGTAAATGCTCACTCGTCTATGCCAAGAAATTTGGAAGACAGCTACCTGGCAAACCAACTGGAAGAGATCTATATTTGTACCCATTCCAAAGAAAGGAGATCCAACAGAATGAGGAAATTATCCAACAATATCGTTAATATCACATGCAAGTAAAATTTTGCTGAATCATTCAAAAGTGGCTGCAGCGGTATATTGACAGGGAACTTTCAGAAAGTAAAGTCGGATTCAGTAGAGGACACGGCATGAGGGATATCATTGCCTATGTCAGATGGATCCTGGCTGAAAGCAGAGAATACCAGGAAGATGTTTACCTGTGTTTTATTGACTATGCAAAGACATTCGACTGTATAGACCATAACAAATTATGGATAACGTTGCAAAGAATGGGAGTTCCAGAACACTTAATTGTACTCATGAGGAACCTGTACATAGATTAAGAAGCAGTTGTTCAAACTGAACAAGGGGATACTGTGTGGTTTAAAGTCAGGAAAGGTGTGCATCAGGGTTGTATCCTTTCACCATACTTACTCAATTTGTATGCTGAGCAAATAATTTGAGAAGCTGGACTATATGAAGAAGGATAAGGCATCAAAATTGGAGGAAGGATCATTAACAACCTGTGTTATGCAGACAATGCGAGCTTGCTTGCTGAAAGTGAAGAGAACTTGAAAAACTTACTGATGAAGATCAAAGACCATACCCTACAGTATGGATTACACCTCAACATAAAGAAAACAAAAATCATCACAACTGGACCAATAAACAACGTCATGATAAACGGAGAAAAGATTGAAGTTGTCAAGGATTTCATTTTACTTGGATCCACAATCAAAACTTACTGAAGCAGCAGTCAAGAAATCAAAAGACACATTGCATTGGACTAATCTGCTGCAAAAGACCCCTTTAAAGTATCGAAAAGCAAAGATGGCACCTTGAAGACTAAGGTGTACCTGACCTGAGCCATACCATAGTGTTTTCAGCTGTCTCTTATGCATGCAAAACTGAATGATGAATAAAGAAGACCAAAGAAGAATTGACACCTTTGAATTGTGGTGTTGGCAAAGAATATTGAATGGACAGCCAAAAGAATGAACAAATTTGTCTTGGAAGAAGTACAAACAGAATGTTCCTTAGAAGCAAGGATGACTTTGAACATGTTATCAAGAGGGATCAGTCCCCAGAGAAGGACATCATACTTGGTAAAGTAGAGGGTCAGTAAAAAAGAGAAAAACCCTCAACGAGATGGATTGACACAGTGGCTGCATCAGTGGGTTTAAGCATAAGAATTGTGAGGATGGCGCAGGACCAGGCAGTTTCATTCTTTTGTATGTAGGGTTGCTATGAGTTGGAACTGACTCAATGACATCTAACAACAACAAACCATTCCTTGAGTTCTTATAACAGTAATCCCATTCTATATTTGTCCTTTTGTGACTGACTTGTTTCACTTAACATAATGCCCTCCAGATTCATCCATGTTGTGAGATGTTTTGTGGATTCATCATTGTTCTTTATTGTTGCATAGTATTATATTGTGTGTATGTACCATAATTTGTTTATCTATCCATCCATTGATGGGCACTTAGGTTGTTTCCATCTTTGCTATTGTGAATAGTGTTACAATGAACATGGTTGTGCATACCTCTATTCTTGTGACAGCTCATATTTCTCTAGGATATTTTCCTAGGAGTGGGGTTGCTGGATCGTATGGTATTTCTATTTCTAGCTTTTTAAGGAAGTAACATATCTTTTTCCAAAGTGGTTGTACCATTTTGCATCCCCACCAATAGTGCATGAGAGTTCCAGTCTCCCCATAACCTCTCCAACATTTGTTATTTTGTGTTTTTTGGATTAGTGCCAGTATTGTGTAGGTGAGATGGTATCTCAATGTTGTTTTGATTTGCATTTTTCTAATAGCTAATGAAGCCCTGTTGGTACAGTGGTTAAGAGCTTGGCTGCTAACCAATAGGTTGACAGTTCAAATCTACCAGCTGCTCCTTGGAAACTCTATGGGGCAGTTCTACTCTGTCCTATAGAGTCACTATGAGTCAGAATCGACTTGATGGCAACAAGTTTTGGTTCTGGAATTGCTAATGATCGTGAGCATTTCCTCATGTGTCTGTTAGCCACCTGGAGGTTTTCTATGGTGAAGTGTGTGTTCATGTCCTTTGCCCATTTTTTAAGTGGATTATTTGTCTTTTTGTTGTTGAGGTGTTGTAGTATCTTGTAGATTTTAGAGATTAGACCCTTGGCTATGACCTTTGTCATAGCCAAAAATTTTTTCCCAGTCTGTATGTTCTCTTTTTACTCTTTTGGTGAAGTCTTTTGATGAGAATATGTGTTTAACTTTTAGGAGCTCCCAGTTATCTAGCTTCTCTTCTGCTGTTTGTGCATTGTTAGCTATCATTTGTATCCTATTTATGCCATATATTAGGGTCCCTGGCATTATCCCTTGTTTTCCTTCCATGATCTTTATAGTTTTAGATTTTATATTCATCTTTAGTCCATTTTGAGTTAGTTCTTGTGTATGGTGTGAGGTATGGATCCTGCTTCTTTTTTTACAGGTGGACATCCAGTTATGCCGGAACCATTTGTTAAAGAGGCTGTCTTTTCCCCCATTTAACAGACTTTGGGCCTTTGTCAAATGAATTTACTTCTGGGTTCTCTATTCTGTTCCATTGGTTTATGTGTCTGTTGTTGTACCAGCCTTTTTTGACAACCAAGGCTATATAACAAGCTCTAAAATCAGGTATTGTGGGGCCTCTCACTTTGTTCTTCTTCAGTAATGCTTTACTTATCCAGGATATCTTCCCTTTCCATATAAAGTTGGTGATTTGTTTCTCCATCTCATTAAAGAATGCTCTTGGAATTTGGATTGTGATTGCATTGTATCTGTAGGTCACTTTGGGTAGAATTGACATTTTCACAGTATGGAGTTTTCCTATCTATGAGCATGGTATGTTTTTCCACTTATTTAGGTCTCATTTGGTTTCTTGCAGTAGTTTTTTGTAGTTTTCTTCTTATGGTCTTTGTATTCTCTTTTCTATCTAGGTAGTTCTATAGTTCTAGGTTTCAAATCTCTTTCTAACCCCTCTAGATCTCTTCCTTTGATTTGACCTATCTTTACTTGATTTCCTTATGTTTAACATTGTGAGTGAAGTAAAGCTCCTGGATAATACCTTTGTTACTCACAGCTTGTCTTTGTCCTGTTGTCTTCATCCTTAGCAGAAACAGATGGTGGTCCAGGAGAAATCTATTCAAGAAATAGGGCTGCAGAAAGGCCATATCACAGTAATGGTGTTGAAAGCAATGAAGCTATTCAAATTTGAGACCCAAAAAGGGAAGAAAGAGATGATGTTTCATGATTCAGTGGCTATTGAGAGTGAATTCAATATAAAGCTAAAAGATAAACTCACCCTAAAGACAATAATTATAATATAACGGTAGTATTGGCATAATGGTTTTCTGGAAATTCATAGTACCTCAGTTGTGTTTGATGCTGAATCTGACCAAAAGATCAGTGCCCCAAACCACATTATCAGAAAAGCTGGTGAAACCTCAAAGATCAATAAGCTTCAAACTCAGCCTCTTGGAAAAATTGTGAATGGAATGTTTGTAATACAGAAGATAAGTTCCTATGTATAATTTTGTATTGATTAGTCTGAATAACTTTTCTCCACTCTGAGATTGAAGGGACTTTAGAAATCATTCATTTTAATGCTTTATATAGAGGAAAAACAAACATAAAAATCTAAACAGATAAACCCAAAAAGAACTAATGTGCCACAAAGTTAATGATGTATCCATACTCAAATACGTCTGAAGTCTTTTTATTCTCATGAAGCCATCACAACCCTCTTTCAACTTTTTTTTATTCTTGTAGCCTCTGAAAAAGGAATTACTTCTTACACAAATAATGTTTGCCCTCTGCATTATTTTTGTACTTTATGCATACATATGATCTTTATTTTAAGTGACTATCATTGTGATATATATGTATATATGTGTACACATACATGTGTGTGTATATATGTACATACATGCATACATATATATGTATATCTCCTATTGGTTCTGTTTTTCTGGAGTACCCTAATACATTGAATAAAATTATAAATAACTAATTTCACAGAAAGAAAATATGTAAGGCTAGTGGTATGGATTGAATTGTGTCCCCCCAAAATATGTGTCAACTTGGCTAGGCCATGATTTCCAGTACTGTGTAGTTGTCCTCCATTTTGTGATCTGATGTAATTTTTCTCCATTTTGTGATGTGTTGTAAATCCTAAACTCTTCCTGTGATTATAATCTCATTTGTAAATGGTTTATGTTTGTCATACTAATGAAGCAGGATTAGGTTATGTTAATGAGGATTAGGTCATTTTTGTTATGTTAATGAGGCAAGATTAAGGTGTATCTTGAGTTAATATCTCTTGAGATATAAAAGAGATTAGACAAGCAAGCTAAGTAGCAGAGATGGGGGAAGAGAAATGTCAAGTCACATGAGGATTGCCCAGGAGCAGAAGTTCCAGGAGACAAAGACCTTCCTTGGAGCTGACAGAGAGAGAAAGCCTTTCCCTAAAACCAGCATCCTGAATTCAAACTTGTAGCCTCCTAAACTGTGAGAAAATAAATTTCTGTTTGTTAAAGCCACCCATTTATGGTATTTCTGTTATAGCACTACTAAATAACTAAGACAGCTAATAAACATGAAAAGGTTGTCAATTTCCCTAATAACCAGAGAAATACAATTAAACAAATAATGAACAAAACTCTGTTGTCCACTTAAGATGTAGAAAGCTGGAAAGAGCCTCTCTCTCACATTCCAACAACAAAATGAAGTCATATAACCTGTGAAATCACAATCTTTTTGAAGTCGTTAGAGAACTGAGTTTGTAGGCAACCAACTAATCTAAAATCTAAGGAAAGACCTACATCTCCAAGGACCGATGAGATGCAAACGCTTACTTAGAAGCAGACAGTGGACTCTAGATATGACACAAAATAAAATAATTTAGCTAGAATTTTTAGTGAATTGCTAAAGGTTCCACTTGGGCTACCATGAGAATATAGAACCACTGGGAACCACAACCACAAGAAGAAATTGCACCCACCTTCAGTGTTTTCCATGGACCTGTGGTACAATGAATTACTTCATATGGCCTGTCTAGCCATGGTCTTGTGACTCAAACACAATGATTGAGTGGGACCATGCAAATATGGTGTATGGAACCTGTGACAGTTGGGTTATGTGTCAACTTGGCTAGGCCATGATTCCCAATATTGTATGGTTGTCCTCCATTTTATGTGTTGTGGATCCTGATTTCTACATGTTGATGAGGCAGGATTGGTATAGGGTGTTTCTTGAGTTGAAGCCTTGCAGGAGAGCATGACTCAAGTCTCACTCTTACTGAAGTTACACCCTTCCCTGGGATGTGGCCTGCATCTGAGATATCTGTGTGTGTCCCGGGAAGGCTCTCTCTCTTTGCATCTGGATCTGGCATCTGGGTCATGATCAACTGACCTCCGGTTATTGGGACTCTAGCCTCCTGTGACCCTGCTGCCTGACTTGCCAATTCTGGGATTTGCCCGCCTCCACAGCCCCTTGGGCTGGCAGCCCATCATCTGACCTGATCAGCCAGCTTACACAGCTTTGTGAGCAGCAGCCTGTGGTCTGAACTGCCGGTTTGGGTTCGTCAGCCCCTGTAGCCACGTGGGTTGGGAGAAGCCTACACCTGACCCATGAATTTGGGTCTTGACAGCCTCCACAACCATGTGAGTCATTTCCTTTGTAGGTTTGTGAGTTATGTGAGATATTGCAGTGAATTAGGGAACCGAAAAATGAGAGGGAGAGTACTGAGCGGAGAGGGAGTAGTTGATGTTAGAGATGATGGAGTGGTACACAGCTTGGAAAAGTTGGACATTTGGGACATCTTTAACTTCCACATCATAGGAACCAGCTTTGTGCTGATCTTTATAAAATAAATTACTTGTTTAGGACCTAACTAGGTGATTTTTAGAAAGATTATGGGCAGGCCAGGAAGAGGGAAAGAGCAGCCACAGTAGGAAAGGCATGGATCCCTGCCTGAATTCTTCTCCCTTATGGAATCAAAGTTATAAACCTCTTGGGGAAAGGCAGCAAAACTTACAACCTTTGGAGCACAGAGAAAAACTCATTGTAACAGAGGGAAACAAACAAAAAGTTGTTCTATCCCTGGGGAAACAGAAGAAATATATTCTGGGCATAGAATATTAAGGGTTTCTCATAGCTTGAGCAAAGAGAGAATCACAATGAAAATCCCATCCCCAAGACCCAGGGACACGGTGTCTACCAAAGACTGAGGCTGAACCAGAACAACAGACAACTCCTCACAGACTCCTCCCCATTCTGCTTCTTTTCACCAAGCGGAACAAGGAACAAATAACAAGTAACAAGTTAATTATATGTAAAGAAACATTCTCTCTGGTCCTGGTGTAAACGGAAGATTTAAAGCTGATTGTGAGGCAGACATTGAGAATAAATATCTGGCAAAATCCCTGGCACAAACACAATGTAGCTCCAGAGGAATTTTAAGTCTGTGGTAACCATAACAACAACAACAAATCACAAACCCAGCTCTACTCCTGACCAGATTGACTCAACCCATGCTTATTCACAGGAATACATACTGTTGACTGTCACAGATGGCTTTCAGCAAAAATTGTGAGGCACACAAAGAAGCAAAAGAAAAACAACAGGCAAACAACAAAACAAACAAAAAACACCATAAAGAGACAAATCACTTAAAAAAGATCCTAAGTTACATATGATACATATGTTGGAACTATCAGATAGGGAATTTAAAAGAGGTGGACAACATACTATGGAGTAGTTCTGCTCTACACACACGGGGTTGCTATGAGTTGGGATCAACCTGACAGCAACTAAAGACAACAACAACATGCATCATCAGATAGATACTTTCAACAGAGAAATGGAAACCATGGGAAAGAATCTAATGAAATAGCTACGAGTGAAAAAACACAGTTAGAAAGATGAAGAATGCCTTCAATAAAATCATCAGTAGACTTGACCCATTACAGGAAAGAACTTGAAGACAACCTGCTGCGGTTGAGTGGAGCTTTGTGGGATGTATGGTATCTGTTGCAACTAATTAACTCTGCCACTGACTGCAAAGGCAGTTATAGAAAATACATAAATGAATGGACATGTTTCTGTTCCAATAAAACTTCATTATGGAGACCGAAATTTGAATTTCATACAATTTTAATGTGCCACAAAGTATTTTTCTTTCAATTTTTTCCAATCATTACAAAAATGTAAAAACAATTTTTAGCTTGTGGGCTATACAAAAACAGATGGCAGACTAAAAAAAAAAAAAAAAAAAAAACAGGCAAAAGGCCAGACTTGGCCCAGGGATCATAGTTTGACAACCCCTGGTCTAAAGCAAAAATAATAACAATGTATTGTGTGTAGACTATTTGAGAAATATGAAATGGAGAAATTAGGAGTATGTTTTTGGAAGATCCTTACACAATACACAAAGCAGTATAATATTATTTGAAGATAGATTCCAATTAATTAAAGAGGTATATTGTAAACCCTAGGGAAATCACTGTAATTTGTTAAAGAAATACAAATAATATGATAATTTTGTGGTTTTGGAAAAAGGATAGACATGTAGATGAATGGAAAAGAATAGGGAGCCCAGAAATGGACCCACACATATACAATCAATTGATTTGCTAGTAAGGTGCAAACACAATTCAATGAAAAAAGGTTAATATTTTCAACAAATAGTTATCCATATGCACGAATAAATCTTTATCCATTCCTCATTCTCTATACAAAAATGAATTTGAAATGGATCATTGACTTAAACGTAAAAACCTAAAATAAAACTTCTTGAAGAAAACAGAAAACCTTTGGGAACCTCGGCTTAGGCAAAAATTTTTAGATACAACACCAAAAGCACAATATATAAAACACTTTTCATAATTCGAATTTTTCCAAAATGACGAACTTCTACTCTTAAAAAAATACTGTTAAGAGAATGAAAAGGTAAGCTATAGATTGGGAGTTAATATTTGCCTGTTACAGAACTGAGAAAGAACTGCTTTCCAGAATTTATAAAGAACTCTCAAAACTCAATAATATGAAAACAATGAGTTTTTTATTAACTATTAATTAATTATAGTTATTAATTATTAATCCTATTTTTACAATGAGGAGACTGAGGCGTTCTAATTACAATTTCCATAAGCAAAGATGTATTTCTTTATGTACATATGAACATATAAATGAATGGAAATATCTGGGGTCTGAAACAATACACAGTAAACTGATGATGATGATTTTCTTTGGAGAAAAAAGTGTGATTGTTCCAGGTTTCAAAAAGGATATCAAATTATTTGATTTTTTTTTTTACAGTAAGAATATAATCACTTGTCTTACAGGTGAATACAAATAAACATAAGAAATAATGACTTTTAAAATTAATCATAAAAAATTTAAGATGTGTAAAATGTATAAAAAATGATGCAATTAATTTCCATGTCTCGCCATACAGCTATAGAGAAAGAATATTGCCTATACAGCTGAGTTTGTCTCTTCTAAATGTAGCCATACTATGATACCCTAGAGATCCTTCCAGAGTTATTTCTTTGCCTCCTAAATATCTTCAAAGCATTGGTAGAAACCATATTTCTAAGATGTCTATGGTGATAGATAAGCATCTCTATGGACTGTTGTGACCATCTCTTTGGTTCATGCACTTCAAATCTAGGGGAATCTCTAGTTTCTTCCTTACTTTCCTCCAAGGAGGGACTGTGATATGAGGCAAATTGCAAAATATAAGATAAAGTGGGGGCGTGGAATTAGAGGACTAAGCTGTGTAAGTTAAAAAAAAATCAGTGAGGCAATCTTTTGGATGGAGTGTCATTTCTTGCTCATCTCATTTAAGGGCACCCTTATACTTAGAAGACAGAAGCTCAAATGGAAGTTAACATGATTTTAAGGAAAAAAAAGGCATTGGGCAGGTCATTTAAATGATTCCTTCTCTAACTCTTAATCAGAGAAAGTTTACAGAAAGCAACATGAATTCGAAATATTGGAATAGCTCAGAATATAAACATCATTTGTGCATGAAGCAGTCTTTTTTTTTTTTTAGTGTCCATTAATCAAATTTGAATTTGGTGGACGTTTTAGTAATCTTTGATGTTTGCTCAGGAGGAAATCTATTTCCTAACTGGCTGAGTGATTTTTGATCTTGACCACTTCACTCAATCTCTCTGGGCTTCAATTTTCTCATTTTTAGATAATATAACTTCTCAAGTGCCTTAATAATCTGGATCCTGAAAATGACCAAAATTATCTTGAATATATCTAACAGAATGCTATTAGGATAACATTAGTCTAGGAAACAAAAAATGTCTAAATCTTATTCTCAGCATCTAAGCTTGAGACGGATAGGGTTAACTGTGCTGGCAGAATAAAAGAGCTGTTAAAAGACTACCACCTAGAAGTTGGGTAAACAAGAACCACATCCTGTCAACATAAAATAAGGTTAGAACGACCTGTGAATTACTACTTCCTCCTTAGTATTTTTCTAGTCCCTTTCCCCTTATTATAGGCTCCACATGCACAGAAAAACAAAGTGTGACTGTTGTTTTGGCCCACTGAAGGGGGCAAAGTAATACGGGAGATCAGTGCACCTGTGCCATATCCCATATCCCATGATAAGTCATGCTGAGAGCTGCTGAGGGGACTTTGTCTTGAATGTCAGCAGGTTCCATCTTGGATTCCAGATGTGCCCGCAATCTAATTAGTATGCACTACCATTCCAAAGAGTACCTACCCCTTCAAAGGAACCCTCCGAACATTCATTGCTCTATTGTCCCCACAGAACCCATATAAGCCCTAGCCTTGCTTCCCCTTGTGATTCAGTCTTTTGGAGAGACATGAGCCCTGACTGACTCCTTTTACTTGTCAAAAAATTGTCTCCTCTGTGTATTCTTACAAAAGAAAGACAAGGACCCATTGAGTCCAGAGTGCCTCCGTGCCCTCGATGGTAACAAGCCTACTTTAAAAAAAAAAAAAGAGTGTGGTGAGTCAACAAATCGACTTCAACTTATGGAGGCCCCTTGTGTGTCAGAGTAGAACTTCTCCATAAGGTTTTCAATGACTAATTTTTCAGAGTACATTGCCAGGCCTGTCTTCCAAGGCACCTCTGGGTGGACTCTTCTGGTTACCAGCTGAGCACATTAACTGTTTGCACCACCCAGGGACTCTTATGTGAAATGTAGAGCCAGGAAATGTGATTGGAGAGCTACTGAGGAGGTTTTGGTACTTGAGTAAATGAATGGGACCAGATATTTCTCATCAGGCAGTGCTAGAAATGCTTCTAACCTACACTAGTGCCTTCATACAAATCATCACAAGGTACCTCTTTTGGCAGACAAATTACCCAATTATGCCCTCTCTGAGAAGGCTGATTCTGAAAAGATATTTCTTGTTCTGAGCTAAAGCAGTTCCTCTCCAGGAAAAAGCACTTGGTAATGGAAGCACAGGCTGGATTTCAGCCCTATCTGCCCCTTCATCTGGGTTCTTTGGTGCAGGGTAAACCAACTAACACATTGCTGTCAAGTCAATTCTGACTCATAGCAATTCTATAGGAGAGAGTAGAACTGTCCCACAGGGTTTCCAAGGAGTGGCTGGTGGATTCGACTGCCAACATTTTGGTTAGCAGCTGAGCTCTTAACCACCTCACCACAGACTGTTTATTCTTGGCCGGGGACTTCTCCGCTAAAGATCCCACCCAGAGTGTGGACCTGTGTGTCTCATCCTGATTTACAGATCACAAACTATTTGTTTTTCAGCAATTCACAAATGGATTACAGAGACTCTTAGGAAACACCTCTAGAGGTGCGGGGGAGAAGGTTTTTTATTTTTTTCAAATTATAAAATTTATAGACAAAAAACGTAGTTCTTAGAAAATACAAAACAAAACAAAAGAATTCTAATGCTGTTACCTAGAGTTAATAGCTGGTAAATATATTGCTTATTTCAACCAGATATATCTATGTGGTTTCTTTTTCCATATGTAGGTCTTATCTCCATAAACATCACTATGAATGACAGCCAGGGATTTAGAAGGAGGACTCTAATCAAGCTTCCATACTTGAATTAGGACTGAGTGGCTATTTGTTGTGTTCCTTGGTCTTGATAACCTTGAAGAATAAAGAGATAAAGACCAATTGAGATACAGCTAGTCATACATATCTCCCTTCACTCACTCTGTAGTTAACTACTCCCCATGGGCCACATCCCTTCCCCTCTTCCCTTTTTAAAGTCTCTTCTCTCACTCTCACCCATCTCCTTTAATGTACTCCTGTCCTTTAGCTACCACCCACCTCCCTTGGTTGGGAGCCTGAAATCAAATATTCACTCATATCCATGAGCACATATGGATTGGGCAAGAGGTGTCAGGTAGCGACAGGAGAGAGGAAGGAGCTGGTTTACCCAATATCGGACGGTGAGGGGAAGATTTTGACTGGGGAAGAAAGGTAAGAGGAGAGTTCAAAAGATATTTCTGACATAATAGCTGGGAAGATAAATGTTGGGATGTTTGCAATGATGGAACCAAGAAATAGAGATCTAAGAATGTGTGCATTTCTGTGTGCCTGGATATATCAGCATTTGTATTTTATTTGTTTGGATTCCAATGTTAGATTGGGTTAGTGTTACCAAGAATCCCAAAAGGGTGTGCTTGAGTGTGATAAAGAGCATGGACTTTGTCATGTAGATCCAGCCACCTCTGTCTGTTGTAGACCAGGATGTGCATTTCACTAAAGGCAGATACCACTGGGTTCTGAAATGCTCAGGGGGATCCTTGGTCATTTAGGTTTGATATGAGCTCTGCTGATCATCCTCTTCCTCCCCTGGCTGTTGTTTACCACAAAAGATTAAATAAGTTAATATATGGAAAGCCCTTAGAAGAGTGTCTGGCTCATTCTGAGTCCTACAGTCACTTAAAACTTAACCTGTTCAAAGCAGAACACATTTTTGTTCCCTGGACTCTGCTCTTCCTACTGTGTCCTTTACTTTTGTGAATGGTACCATCATCATCCATGAGACAGAGCCCCCACAGTGTTGCATTAAAAATCCCATTTCCTTTGCTGGGCTTCCTCCTCCCCACCCCTGCTTTGTTTTTGAATCCTGCTTTTGCTAGGAGGTTTTATGTAAACCCCATTGTGTCTGCATATTATGATTAAGAATGTTGCTGACGTAACTTGTATGAACTCCCTACTTGTAAACCCCTTAAAAGGAACTTGTCTCCTCACCCTTGGGGCGCAGTCTTGGCAGCAGTGGCTCAGACTGGTGCCTTTCCTGTTCTCCCACCTCGGTCTCTTGTTTATTGGTCGATACGAGTCATGCTGAGCAAGAACCTGGGGTTTCCACCTGGTAACATCCAGATGCCTGTGATAGCCACCTCGAAATTATCTTTGAATCCTTCGTCTCCCTTACCAATATCCTCTAATTAGTCACAAGTAACCTAATAATACAAGACTTTCTCTTTATCCACCCAAGCCTGCCTGTACTTTTCACTTCTTGTTTGGATTTCTGCAATAAACTTCTGACTGATCTTCCCATCTCCAGGGGCCTACCTCTAACCTACTGTCCAGGATGTTGTCAGAAAAACATGTGTTCTCCTCCTAAAGGACTTTATTTCCATCCCATGTATTTTCTCTCTTCTCTCTCTCTCTTTCTCCCTTCCTTTCTTCCTCCATCCTTCCCTCCTTTCCTTCTTTTCTTCCTTCCTTCCTTTCTTTTCTTCTTTCTCCCTCTCTCTTTCTTTCTTTTTTTTTGCTATTTACTATGAAATTCATGTTCCTTAACTTCTGACAAAAGACCAGTCATTATCTGGCTTCCCCCACCCCACATCTACCAAAAGTACAAGTTTGTAAAACACCTTATGGTGCTTAACAGTTTTGGATCATTATATACACAGTGTTCTTTTTTTCTAGAAAGTTACTCTCCTTTTTTTTTTTCCATGTATGTATAGCTGACAATAATAGCTACAATATATTGAATGCTTACGATTTGAAAGTCACTGTGATAAGTGATATCTATGCATTATCTTGTCAAATCTTCAGAACTACTTTCTGAGGTTGAAAATATTTCCCCCATTTTCAGCTGAGGAACCTGAGGTTCATAGTATTTCATTTCTTCAGGCAACTAGAAATCTCAGAGTCAGGGTTTGAAACAAATCTGCCTTAATAAAGCTCAAATTCTTATATCTCAGCCTTGGTAGATTTTACAAATTCTTTAATATTTAACCTAGGTATCATACCATTTGAAAGCTCCTCTGAATTTTCTCTTTTCAATGTAATTAAAAATATTCTCTCAAGGATGGAAGGAAGGAAGGAAAGAAATGAAAGGAAAAAAGAAGAAAGACAAAATGAAAAACTTTGTACATGTTAAAGCGCAAGGCTTAATTTTTTTGCTACCTACAGAACTCTCTGTGTAATAGCAGCAGTCTAGTTTTCTTAAAGCATAAATGAAGTAATCCACCACATTGGAAGAATGATATTCCCCAAGCAGTTCCCACCTTGATGAAACTATGAAGTACAGATTTCAGCTGCCTCCTCTCTTCATTTGATTCCAATTCAAAGCAGATGAATTGACATTCATCGCCTTCCTCACATTTGATTCGGGTTAATTGTCCAAACACGCTTACTTCCATCTTCCCTGTATCATCTTGTATTTCATAGAATATGTGTTTTTCCACCACCCTTTTCTGCAAAAATAAAACAAAAACAGAACCATCTTCTAATGTCTGGATAAGGAATTTCCACATCTAAGAGAAGTACAAGAGTGTTAGTGGAAACTTGTCTCTGACAAGTTATATAGGAGTTGTAGACCAGGAATTACAGTTAGGAGTAGCTTTAGATGAATGTTCAGAATATGACCCCTTTCAGATCTTCTGTCTAGCCTACCTTCTAGGTATTTATCTACCTGACTGACTCCTCCAGAAAAACTGTTTTCCTTATTTTTGCTGTTTCTACCTCAGGACAGCTGAGGTTTCTTAAGAAGCCTGGATACAGAGGAATCTGATAAGCTTGTTAGATTTCTTTGGCAGCTATCCCAGCACAGGGGGGAAGAAAGAAAAAAACAAAAGACAATTCAAGATTCATTGTATGGCTGAGAAAGATTGTTTCAAGTCCTTATTAAGTAGATTGTTACTCAACATGCAATTCCTTCTACTATCTTTTCCATTTATTCACTCTTCTCCAACATGCCCACCCTCTTTGATTCTAGATCATCCAGTCCAGTCCAATTGTTCTAGTTTCTATTTCACTTATACTTTTATTCTTTTGTCCTACAAATGCATATATAAGCACTGCCATTGTTACAGAGTAATTTGTGTCCCCACAGAAAATATGATGAAATCCTAACTCCCATACTTCTGAATGTGACCTTGTTTGAAGTTAGGGTTTTTGATGATGTTGTCAGTCAAGTTAATATGAGGTTACACGGGAGTAGGGTGGGTCCTAATCCTATATGACTGGTGTTTTTATAAAAGAGGAGAAGAGATACAGAGATAGAGACAAACAGGATGGACAATCTTGTGAAAATGCATATACAAGCCAAGGAAAACCTGAGGATACCAGAAGTTGGGAGAGACAAGTAGTAATCTTCCCTAGAGACTTTGTAGAGAGCATGAATTGACTGACATGTTGATTTGTACTTCTAGCCTCCAGAACTATGAGACAATAAATTTCTGTTCTTATAAACCAAAGTTTTTTGTATTTTGTTACAGCAGCCCTAGGAAACTAACAGAGTCATTTAAACAGAGTATAGAAAACAGCACAGGTAAAATTAAAGAGTCAGCCTAGAAGACATATATAATGGAATGTGAAAAAATACTTCAAATAAGAAGTTAAGTCAGCTAAGCTTGGTGTATACATCGGTTATTGAGGCTAGAAGATACACCCTAATTTTGGACCTCAGCAAACTTTTCTGTATTATATGGTCCATATTTGTAAACTGGTGTTAAACTGCATGAATTCTTTAGATTTTTCATCTTTAGTCTCTTATTATTTGATGCCAAAATAAATTGCTCAGCAATAATTTGATGAGTGAATAAATGGGACAAAGGTGACAGCACTTTAATGTCCAGATGATTATAATTGTAGCTTACTGTTGATCATGGTTACATTCTAAGGGAGAATGGTCCAATGACTTCTTACCCAGGTGGTCACAACCAGAATCCAAGCTCAAGTGGGCAATTCTTTACTCACAATTAAGTTAACGTGTTCACTGATACAAATGAGGCAGAACTGAAGTAAATAAAATCCTAAGGATATATATGGTGATCTAAACTCTGTGCTGCTCTGGACCACTATGGCTGTGAATGACCATCAGAGCTGAAAAAAAAAATGCCAAGGTTTCCCATCAAATTGCTTTCTAAAGAACTTATATGGAAATATTTTGGAAAGAAGAATGTAAAAGATTACTGAGTCCATACTCTTAAGTGGGAAGATTCCACCCAACTATCCCTGCTAAGGGGGACCTTGAATTCTGGGTTCATAAGTTGACCAAATTCCAGCTGGCAAGTAAAGACTTTTAAATTCTAGTGTTGCAGAAGAAAAATTATATAAAACAATGGTGTAAACCTACCTTATGGACCTTAAACACCCCATTCACAAATGTTCCTTGAACTTGCAAGCAAAGATGACTGATTTTAGGAGTTGCATTTGCATTTGCAATAAGTGTGCTTGAGATGTCCATCTTTTGGTCAGCATTAAGATTAGAAACAGATGAGACACGATACACCTCCAAGAAGCCATTGCGGCCAACATAATTGGATATGGCAATGACCCTGTTTGGGATAAACTTCTCCTTCAGGCTTATATCAAAAACCTTCACTCGGAAGAATTCACTCTCAGTAGCCACTGTGGCATGAAACATCTTTCTCTCCTCTTTTCCGTAATCATATACAAACGGCTCTGTTGCTTTCAGCACCATCACTTTTTTCGGTCCCCTCTGGACACCCTCTTCTCTGGAAGCTTCTTTAGGTTCAGTCTTCAGTATTGGTTTCTAGAATGGACACATCAAACAGCAGGCATAATTAGGACAGGGAATACAGGGCCACTTTTTAGTGAAAACCCCCTCAGATTCAATCTTGAGTCTCAAGAAACACAAAAATTGGGTGGAGTTGTAGAATAACTAGACAAGGATGGCTGACATGGATGGAAAGAAGGTTATAAACGGGTATAATTTAGCTAATGGAAGAAGTTTGAGAAGATTTAAAAATTAATTTAATTTTTATTCTTCATTGCTTTATAAGTATACAAAGAAGAATATTTTTCTTTAACAAGAATAAACCCTAGGAGAAGCTATGCAGAGACAGTGAGCAATGGCAATGCTGTCGTGAAATCCTTCCCAAGATAGATGAGGATGGAACAATAGTCTCAATTTTTCCTCCTTCTTTCACATTAGTGACCAAACTAAGATAAAAATAGGAATAAAATAAACCACCCTTAATAGCACTAAAGGAGTCGCTGGTTGGCACAAACAATTAAGCGCTCTGTTACTAACAGAAAGGTTGGAAGTTTTAGTTGACCCAGAGGCACCCCAGAAGAAAGCCCTAGTGATCTACTTCTGAAAGATCACAGCCATTGAAAACCCTATGGAGCACAGCTGTACTTGACCTGGGGTTTCCATGAATCAGAATTGACTCAGTGTAACTAGTTTGGTTTTGGTTTTTTGATAGCACGAAAAATGGAGAATGGTTCCATTCACAGACCATAGATTTAAGGGATTTCAGCTGGAAATAATCTCATTAGATGGGGCAGCTTAAAGACCTAAATCACAAGTCTCCTTTCTAAGAAAGCAGTGCTGTGTTGCAAAGGGGTTAGTAAGGCAGTCACCAGGAGAATCCCATGGATTTTCATAACTTGGAAGAGTCCAGCCTAAAGGCTCTCCAGTTAGAACAATGGCAGGACTCTCTGGAGAAGCATACAAATGGAAAAGTCAGGGGACTTTTCTCTGACCTCCTTTCTCCACAGTGGTCTACACTGTTTCTGAGTTGCAGGAGAGCACTTTGAATCAGCCCTGCCCATTGCTCTGAGGTTGATTCCAAGGCCTTCAGAGTCATAGGAGCCAAAATATGGAGCCATGCTAGCTGCTTCCACAAATCAGCAAAATAGCAACATTAATAACACCTTGATGAGGAAAGCAGGACTTAAGGAAGAAATTATTTAACTACTCAGAGGGTCATGAAAAAAGTACTGAGGAACAAATTCTCCTTATGTTCAATATATGTATAGGGAATACTGGAATTAAAGTCAAATAATACTGGATTTTCTTATTTTTAAAATAAATTATGGAATAACCATGTAAGTGTCCTTAAAGATTAAAGCAATAATTAAAATCTGCATTGGTTGACTTGAATGGATGTTCAAGATATATTAACTGAAAAAAAAAATACTGAGTTACATAAGAATGTATTTAATGTCATCCCATTTGAAAGAAAACGGTGTTTTTGGTACATACATAAAAAAGGATAATATGTGAAAGACTATATTCTAATATGTGGCATTTTCTAGAGGAGATATTTTAGATAGTTAAAATCTTTAAATAATTAAATGTTTATTTATCTGCATTTCCTAATTTTTCTAAAATGATAGTAAAATGTGATAAAAAATGGAAGAGAAAGAATTGGTGATGGTGCTCTGGTTGACTCTGTATTTCACCACCCTTTTCCACCATAAGCTCTCTCTTTCCTTGTGTATTGAGAAACAACAAACCCCAAACAAACAAAAACACAAACATGATATTAAACAAACAAATGAGTAGTTATACCTCTTGTGGAATAGAGATAAGGTGTCCACCTGGTAATAAGGGGGTAAATCATGTAGGGGAGTATTCTAAGAGATGGATTTAGAATTAAGGTAGGTTCTCAAAATACGTACTTGACAAATGAATTAGTGATTTAATTAAGAAGGAAATTGTGTATATAGGAGAATAGAAGTTCTTTAAACTTTGTGACAAGGTCTGTAATTATGTTATAAGGAGAGCAAAAAAAAAAACGGGAAAAGGAAAATGTCACCTTAGTTAAGAAACTGCTGGATGGGGATAATAGAGGCATCTGGTGAATCCGAGGACAGCTCTCAGTTGGAGGAGTGTTGGCCACTGAAGTTTGCTGAAGTTGACTCTGCTCTGGGGTTAGCTTCAACCTCTTGGAGCCATCAGTTGTGGTGGTTTTGTATTGCTTTTTCTGAATATATATATATAGTGTTTGACACTGAGTATGATGTTTGCTGTAGATTTTTTTAAATTTATTTTTATTTTTGTTGTGGTTTAAATGAAGTTTACATTTCAAGTTAGTCTCCCATACAAAAATTTATACTTACATTGTTGTCTGACCCTAATTGCTCACCCCATATTGTGACAGCATACTCCTCCTTTCCACCCCTTATTCCCCATGTCCATTCAACCAGCTCCTAGTCCACTCCCTGTCTGAAGAGTTGGCCTTGGCAATTGTTTTAGTTCTGGGCTAATAGAGAATCTGGGGGCCATGCTTTCCAGGGTTCCTCCAGTCTCAGACCATTAAGTCTTGTCTTCTTACTAGAATTTGAGTTCTGCACCCACCTTTCTCCTGCTTCATCGGGGACTCTCTGTTGTGTTCCCTGTAAGGGCAGTCATTGGTGGTAGCCGGGCACCATCTAGTTCTGGTCTCAGGCTGATGAAGTCTCTGGTTTATGTGGCCCTTTCTGTCTCTTGGGTACTAGTTTCCTTGTGTCTTTGGTGTTCTTCATTCTCCTTTATTCCAAGTGGTTGCGACCAATTGATGCATCTTAGATGCCTGCTTGCAAGCTTTTAAGACCCCATATGCCACTTACCAAGGAGGATGCAGAACATTTTCTTAGTAAGCTTTGTTATGCCAATTGACCTAGATGTCCCCTGAAAGCATGGTCCCCAGAGCCCTACCCCTGCTACTCTGTCCCTTAAAGTGTTTGATTGCATTCAGTGAACTTCTTAGCTTTGCTTTAGTCCAGTTGTTCTGACTTCCCCTGTAGTATGTGCTGTCTTTCCCTTCACCTAAGATAATTCTTATCTACTAACGAGTTAGTAAATAACCCTCCCCGTCCCTCCCCATCATCATAACAATCAAAGAATGTTTTCTTCTGTGTTTAAACCTTTCCTTGAGTTCTTATAATAGTGGTCTTATACAATATTTGTCCTTCTGTGACTGACTAAATTCACTTAGCATAATGACCTCCAGCTTCCTCCATGTTATAAGATGTTTCATGGCTTCATGGTTGTTCTTTATCGTTGCGTAGTATTCCACTGTGTGGATATAGCATAATTTGTTTATCCAGTCACACATTGATGGGCACCTAGGTTGTTTCCATCTTTTTGCTATTGTGAACAGAGCTGCAATGAAAATATGTGTGCATATATCTATTTGTTTGACGGCTCTTATTTCTCTAGGATATATTCAAAGGAGCAGGATGGCTGGATCATATGGTACTTCTATTTCTAGCTTTTTAAGGAAGCACCAAATCGATTTCCAAAGTGGTTGTTCTATTTTACATTCCTAAAAGTGTATAAGTGTTCCAGTCTCTCAACAGCCTCTCTAGCATTTATTATTTTGTGTTTTTTGGATTAATGCTATCCTTGTTGGGGTGAGATGATATCTCACTGTAGTTTTGATCTGCATTTCTCTAATGGCTAATGATCGTGAGCATTCATTCATGTGTCTGTTAGCCACCTGAATATCTTCTTTGGTGAAGTGCCTGTTCATATCTTTTGCCCAGTTTTTAATTGGATTATTTGTCTTTTTGTTATTGAGGTTTCGAAGTATCTTGTAGATTTTAGAGATTAGACGCTGATCGGATTTGTCATAGCCAAAATTTTTTCCCAGTCTGTAGGTTTTCTTTTGACTCTTTTGGTGAAGTCTTTTGATGAGCATAAGTGTTTGATTTTTAGGAGCTCCCAGTTATCTAGTCTCTCTTCCGGTGCTTGTGCATTGTTACTTATGGTTCATATTCTATTTATGCCATGCATTAGGGCTCCTTGTGTTGTCCTTATTTTGTATTCCATGATCTTTATCGTTTTCAATTTTATATTTAAGTCTTTGATCCATTTTGAGTTAGTTTTTGTGCATGGTGTGAGGTATGGATCTTGTTTCAGTTTTTCGCAAATGGATATCCAGTTACGCCAGCACCACTTGTTAAAAGAGACTGTCTTTTCCCCAGTTAATGGACTTTGGACCTTTGTCAAATATCAGTTGCTCATAAGTAGATGAATTTATGTCTGGATTCTCAATTCTGTTCCATTGGTCTATGTATCTGTGTTCGTATTGGTGCCAGGCTGTTTTGACTACTCTGGTGGTATAATAGTTTCTAAAATCAGGTAGTGTGAGGCCTCCCACTTTGTTCTTCTTGGGTAATGCTTTACTTATCCAGGGCTTCTTCCCTTTCCATATGAAGTTACTGATTTGTTTCTCCATCTCATTAAAAAATGCCGGTGGAATTTGGATTGGGATTGCATTTATCTGTAGATCGCTTTGGGTAGAACTGACATTTTCACAATGTTGAGTCTTCCTATCCATGAGCAAGTATGTTTCTCCACTTATGCAGGTGTCTTTTGGTTTCTTGCAGTAGTGTCTTGTAGTTTTCATTGTATAGATCTTTTATGTCTCTGGTTAGATTTATTCCTAACTATTTTATCTTCTTGGGGGCTATTGTAAACTGTATTGATTTGGTGATTTCCTCTTCAACGTTCTCTTTGTTGGTATAAAGGAATCCAACTGATTTTTGTGTGTTTATGTTATATCCTGAAACTTTGCTGAAATATTTCATTAATTCTAGTAGTTTTCTTGCGGATTTTTTTTGGTTTTCTATGTATAAGATCATATCACCTGCAAGCAGAGATACTGTGACTTCTTCCCTACCAATTGGGATGCCCTTTATTCCTTTTTCTAGCCTAATTGCTCTGGCTAGGACCTCCCGCACAATGTTGAATAAGAGTGGTGATAAAGGGCATCCTTGTTTGGTTCTCGTTCTCAAGGGGAATGCTTTCAAAGTCTCTCCATTTAGGATAATGTTGGCTATTGGCTTTGTGTAAATGCCCTTAATTATATTGAGGAATTTACCTTCTATTCCTATTTTGTTGAGTTTTTATCATGAATGGGTGTTGGACTTTGTCAAATGCCTTTTCTGCCTCGATTGATAAGATCATGTGGTTCTTTTCTTCTGTTTTATTTATGTGATGGATTAAATGATTGTTTTTCTATTGTTGAACAATCCCTGCATACCTGGTATAAATCCCACTTGATCATGGTGAATTATTTTTTTGATACGTTTCTGAATTCTATTGTCTACAATTTTGTTGAGAATTTTTCCATCAATGTTCATGAGGGATATCAGTCTGTAATTTTCTTTTTTTGTGGTGTCTTTACCTGGTTTGGTATCAGGGTTATGCTGGCTTCATAGAATGAGTTTGGGAGTGTTCCATCCTTTTCTATGCTCTGAAATACCTTTAGTGTTAACTCTTCTCTGAAAGTCTGGTAGAATTCTCCAGTGAAATCATCCGGGCCAGAGCATTTTTTTGTTGGGAGTTTTTAAGTTAGCTTTTCAAGCTCTTCTTTTGTTATGGGTTTATTTAGCTGTTCTACCTCTGTTTGTGTTAGTTTAGGTAGGTAGTGAGTTTCTAGAAATTTGTCCATTTCCTCTAGGTTTTCACATTTGTTAGAGTACAGTTTTTCATAGTATTCTGTTATGATTCTTTTAATTTCAGTTGGGTGTGTTGTAACATCACCCATTTCATTTCTTATACTGGTTATCTGCTTCCTCTCCTGTTTTTCTTTTGTCAGTTTGGCCAATGGTTTATCAATTTTGTTGATCTTTTCAAAGAACCAGGTTTTGGTCTTGTTAACTCTTTCAATTGTTTTTCTATTCTCTATTTCATTTAATTCTGCTCTAATTCTTATTATTTCCTTTCTTCTGGCCCCTAAGGGCTTCTTTTGCTGTTCTCTTTCTATGCATTCCAGTTGTAGGGTTAACGTTTTGATTATGGCACTCGCTTCTTTTTGGACGTGTACATTTATTGCTATCAACTGACCTCTGAGCACTGCTTTTGCTGTGTCCCAAAGGTTCTGGTAGGATGTGTTTTCATTCTCGTTTGATTCTATGAATTTCTTTATTCCATCCTTAATTTCTTACATAACCCAGTAGTTTTTGAGCAAGGTGTTGTTCAGTTTACATGTGTTTGATTTTTTTTTCCTTGCTTTTTCTGTTGTTGATTTCTAGTTTTATAGTTTTACGGTCAGAAAAGATGCTTTGTAATATTTTGATGTGTTGGATTTTGTTAAGGCTTGCTTTATGGCCTAATATGTGGTCTATTCTGGAGAATGTTCCATGTGTTGAAAAGGAAAGTATACTTGGCTGCTGTTGGGTGGAGTATTCTGTATATGTCTATGAGATCAAGTTGGTTGATTGTAGTATTTAGCTCTTCGGTGTCTTTGTTGATCTTCTTTCTGGACTTTCTGTCCTTCACCAAAATTGATGTGTTGAAGTCTCCTACTCTTATTGTGGAGCTGTCTATTGCTCTTTTCAAAGCTGTTAGAGTTTATTTTATGTATTTTGGAGCCCTGTTGTTGGGTGTATAAATATTTGTTATAGTTATGTCCTCCTGGTGTACTGACCCTTTAATCATTATATAGTGTCCTTCCTTATCTTTTGTGTTGGGGTTTACTTGAAAGTCTGTTTTGTCAGAGATTAATATTGCCACTCTTGCTCTTTTTTGTTGTTGTTTGCTTGATATATTTTTTTCCATCCTTTGAGGTTTAGTTTGTTTGTGTCTTTAAGTCTAAGGTGTGTCTCTTGTAGGCAGTATATAGACAGATCATGTTTTTTATCCAATCTGCCACTCTGTGTCTCTTTATTGGTGCAGTTAGTCTATTTTCATTCAGCGTAATTTTTGATAGGTATGAGTTTAGTGCTGTCATTTTGATGTCTTTTTTTGTGTGCTGTTCATGGTTTCTTTGTTCCACTTAATTTTCTGTGCTGAGTCGTTTTTCTTTATGTATTTTGTTTTCATCTTTTCCATTGTCGTTGTTTGTGTTTGCTGAGTTTTTATATTTTTCTAGTTTTTTTTTATTTTGACTTGTAGGATTGTTCGTTTCCTCTGTGGTTACCTTAATATTTACCCCTATTTTTCTAAGTTTATACCAGTCTTTTATTTCTTTCTATCACATATCACCTTCTTCTC